CTGTTCCTGCATGAACAGTTGGAATCTTTGCCGAGTACCGAATGGTATAACTTAAAATCTCTGCCCTTATTTTTGTTCAATAATGAAAAGAGATCGGATTGCCCGGAAGGAGAAGCATAAATAAAATTACATCGTCAGATTCTGATTTGGATACTGATAAATATAATCTTAGTGATAATGAATGTTACGAAGATACTATTGACGAGATTTTACGAGAATTGGTTACATGGAAGAAGAAAGAAATGTTGACGATACCGAGGAAGCTACAGTTCAAATAAAAGATACGAAATGGACCGATCAGAGGCACGGGCATATCTGAAAAAACAAACAACTTTTTGTCCAAGCTGTCCTGATCAACCTCAACTTTGCAGAGAATGTTTTAATGTTATACACTGCGAATAATTTTTTTAATAAACCATTTTTATAAGAATTCAATAGTTTCATTACCTCCTGTAGAATATTTGTCGAAATATTTTCGGAAATCCTTTGTAAGTAGTCAAATCAGCGTCACCCGAATTACGGGTGACGTGGCCTGACGAGAACTTTTGCTGTCACCCGAATACGGGTGACGCGGCAGTCAACGTGTTAAAAAGTTTAGCTGTCTGGTCGAGGATGCGATTAAACAATTTGTACGGTATCATAGCTAAAACAACAATTTTATTCGATGGCGGATGTGTTACTCACATTGATCGTATATTACAAGCTCCACCAAACTGCCGAGAACTACGTGAAGCACCTGCGTGCAAGTGCATGGCTGGGTGCAAGTACTGAGGACATTCGGTTTGCATACAGTTTTGAGACTTCGGCGGTCGGTGAGCAACGTCGACGACGAAGTTTCGTACGACTTATTATTGAAAGACGAGATCAGCTGAGACCTATCAGCCGCATCTGTAAAGAACGAGCATGCGCAACGAAAGTGAAATTATAAAAATAAACAGCAAAATACAAGATACGTAAATTATACAGAATAATGGAATAAATTGCAGCGTGCGCTGCAAGAATTGTATTGGTTCAACGTGTACCGAAGAAAGCTGGATATTTGTTGTCCACTCCGAAGAGCTTTTTGTCGTCATTTTGGGTGTAATTGTAGAAATAAAAGGGCATCACGAACCGCACAGTCGGTTCTACTTCCATGATTTCCGGCTCCGCGTCCTCGTAGCTTTCCAGCTGGTTCACACATACCACAGAACTGGTGTCGTTCGTATTACATTTCGTTGCGTTCATCCCGTTGTAAGTCTAACCATTATACAAATCTCAAATCAGCATGGAGAAACATAATCGAAAGTCTACGATATGTCTGACGACTGTAAATGATTTCATTTCAGTTTCCATTATATTAACAATTTGATGGCCGGTCGCGAGTTAACTCGTGTACTTATGCCCAGACATTGAAGCATTGCCGGTCAACAATGTGTTAAGTATGAAAATGAAATTCGCACGAAGATACGCGGTCAACTAATTGCTGAATAATAATTGCTTTTTCTGGTGGAGGAGGGGAAATGCTCTTACGTGCGCGGGATGGGTGACTCCCCCGAGTCCAACCCCCCTCTCTCCCACAGATAGTCGCCGAAGCCGAAGCCGCGATAGCATTACTTCGGCTTAATTAATAATAATTAAAAATGAACACGATTGTTGGCACTCACGACTCCGTTTGGCATGCTATCATATCCAGGCTGCGGCGCCGATGGAGTCGCCGAAGCACCTTGGTATCGCAAAATGGCTAACTGTTGCACTTTCCTTTCTGGTTCAGCGCATTCTCCTAAACCTCGCACTTGTATCCAGTACGAATCCAATGCTTGATTCGTGTTTATTATGCAATCCACGCGTTCGCCTATTAACGGAAATAACAATGTTTCACGCGGCTTCGTCGGATCCTAACGTAGAAGTTAAACGAGACTCCGTAATTAGTCGACTGATAGTCGCAACATCGAGCATTCGTTTTACCTGTTAGAATGACGACCTTGTCCACTACTTTAGATTTGACGAGAGCACCGTCCTGGGCAATCACGGTGCATCTGTGCTTGTGGAACGCGATTTCAGCCGGGCACACGGTGCTGAATGAATTGATTATACGAAATCTGATCGCATTGTTCTGCTGCACGTTGAACGTCCATAACGGCGCGTGGGTGTTCACGGTCGCGTTTTTCGGATCCTGAACAAGCGAACACGCTCCCTCAATAATTCTTGCTAACCGATAAGTTTTCAAATCTTTTACATCGCGGCAATTCTGTATGTCACCTTCCAATTTCCACGCCCGTTGATCAATATATTTTCCGCGGTCTGTCCGATGTTCGTGTGATAACGACCTGGGAACCTTTCAAGTGACAGCTCGTGCATCCAATCAGACAAGTGCATCACATATTCCCAGTTGTACGAGTTCAGATAGGGATCCTCGGGATCATGAACGATTAAGGCACCCTGTTGTCCATCCAGCATGTGCGTCATCACGTGGGAGTGGTAGAAATGCGTGCCGGCGTTGTTAGCCCCGAATAAGTATCTAAGCGTAACAATTCGAAAGTTCATTCGGCAAATATCCCGGCGTACAGTGCACAAGAAAATCGAGAGAAAGTTACTCAAACGATAATTCTTGATCGAAGAAAATCTTCAAGTGGAAGCTCGACATTTCTGCTTATAATAGAAGGATTCGAGTTAATTGTAAGCTTGTTATACAACACGTGTCGCAAAAGTTATTAATCAAAGCGCTCGGACACATTTACTGTACATTCATGCGAGATCAAAGAGGTTCTATTCGATTTTATACTTCGAAGTTATAGTTTCGTAAATTCTCGCTCGAGATCACGAGTCAATATCGTTACAGTAAATATTGTAATTTTTGCAATTTCTGGCGCGTTGAACGAATTCCTTTTATTCCGTGCAATTTTTACGGTTCGATATACATGGTATTGAATCGTCTCACCTAAAACTCGTTGAAGACGGAATTGGACACTGCGTGACAAACGGAACACCGTCGTAAAATTGGTAGCCGTATTGGAAGATTCCGTGCCAATGTATAGTGGCTTCCATACCTGGGGCTGCATTTTTTACGTCCACCTTAATTATGTCACCTTTGCACACCTGTTGAACAGTTTTTGAGCTGCTACATGTCTTTCGAATAATTTATCAGATTATTCAGAAACGAGAATTCTGTGGGATCAGCATTATAACGAATTCTTCTAAAGCTGTCTTCATTTAAATTTTAAATACAAAAACAATGTAAAGAATGTAAGCGTTTAACGGATGCTCTTTTAGTTTATTTAAATACCTCGATCAGCGGTCCTGGTAGCTGCCGGTTAATCGGTAATATAGTCTTCTCGACCCCGTCAGCTACTATGCATTCGTTTAATTGATCCGTTCTATTGCAAGCCCTAAACAAATAATAATTTCTATGAAATGAAACTGCCGATCTTCGAAATTATTTATTTTCATTTTTATACACGAAAGACAGACAAGCGTACTTAATTTACACGTTGAATAATTGAACGTTTCTGTTCAACTACAAATCATTAATACTTACGGTCCTATTGTTGTATAGAATTCAAGAGTGAAATCGAAAGAACAAATCAAAGGATCTCCACCCGCGACACACTTCCGTCTACATTGTTCCGGCGTGGAAAAATCGCTATCGTTGACCCAAAAACCTGCATTAAAAATCGTTTTTTATTCGTGTAACAAAACTACGATCTTCGACGTTCTGCAGCATCGTGGAAAAAGCATAAAAACCTGCAACGCTTTGGGATTAATTCCAAGAAAACAATTACGCGTAAGAAGCTGAGACCATTAAACGGATTTTACTTATAAAATCGTTAAAATCGGACAGATTTCTCCCGGAATGATCCGCGCACTTCTTACAAATTACCGCAATTTATGACATCACAACTTACAAAAATTTCTGCTATTACATTCGCAACGGTATGCCAATATAAACGTGCAAAAGTCTTTCTTCAGAATTAAACCTTAAGCTGAACTTATTTATCTTACACTCACCGTGCGATAGGTCAAGATGAATTAAAAAGACCGGAAGCAACAGGAGAAGCTTTCTCGAATGGAAAAAATCGCTGGACTGCAACAATGCCATTTTTACGGCTTGAAATCCAAGCCTTAGGTTGTCTCGGTCATATATACAATGCCCCGAAATCGGTTGTTCTATTTAGCCGCACCGATGACCTCAACTTATGCAAAAACAATGAGCACTTTAATTGTGCCGTGTTATCTACGCGGAGTTTCCGGGTATCAGTATTTCGTTACTAATAGTGTAAAAACTATTACATCGGTGCGGTAAATTGCGTCAAAATTTTCCAGAATCAATGGCATCGGCTAATATTTCAAGGAAGAAAACTGTAGAAAGGCGAAAGCTTTGAAAATAAATTATTCTGCACGTTTGAAAACTTAACATGTTACAACCCTGTAGTTAGAATTGTATACATAGATACAATTCCGCAATAAATCATTCAAATGTCGAATCATAAATAGTGGAAATAGGTATAATTTGAAATTCAATGTTTACTTTCATTGTCGGAATTTCATTGTTACATGTAATGAAAAGTGGACAGATTATTCATTTATCGGGTTTATCGGGTTATGCTCGAGCATATTAGTAACTTTGAATGGCACTCGTATTCTTTATTTAATGAGTGATTCGAATAGAATTCTGTAAGCAGATATTATTAGACAAGGCATTTAACAAAATTATAAAATAGGTTTCTTCAAGCAAAGAATTAATTGTCAAACAATAATTTTGTGCAGCGAATAGCCAAACAATAGAATGTTATTGATTTTGCAGATTTTCTATAACAACGCTAATGTAAATCCGATTGATGATTTATATTTTTTTTTATGTTCAGCTCGTGAATTGATTTAAATGCATATATTCTCAACGAATTTTTAGTTCCACGCACCCGAGATAAACAGGAAAAAAACTACTAATATATTCTTGGACGTAATGTATCTATATAATATATACCGCTGTATATATTTCACCTATTTTCTCATAAATTATTGAAGAGCAGTGCAAATTAAGTAAGATAGCGAAATTAGCAGAATAATTATATTTTATCACGGTTACATGTCAATAAACCTGGAAATACAACTTTTTATTCCTTTTACTTTACTATATGGTAAATCAATGAATACTCTAATCACGACTTCAAATGTTATAATTTTGAACATTTTTTGCAGAAAAAAATCATTTTTTTCACTTATGTAAAATCGTGAAGCTGTCGAATTCATAATAATTAATCAAACAATTTCTCCTTTAAAGTCCATTTGTATTATATTTCACGTTGCATAGCAGATGTACATGTAAATATATTGAGACATTTTGTTTCCTTCAAAAATTCATTATACACGCAGACGCAAATTATTCCTGATACTAAAAAGTGCATAATATCGTTTCGTATAAGAAAAAAGACAATTTGTGACGCACATCACGAATATACATAAACTTCCGGTTATAATAAATTATACAAAAATACATTTGTATTTTTCCTTCAACGAAGCTTTTGTTCTATCTGTAATATACTTGATTTTATATATTTACTAAAATAAATATATATCCTACAAGTAGAAGAATTGAAATGTAAAAACGAATAATGTTTTATGGGAACGCAAAATATGCGCCACCAGTGTTTAAATGTATCGTAAGAAATCCATTCCCGGCTTTTAAAAGTATAAAGATTTACAAAAATTTCTTCACAATATTTCATATAAGCTGCTATTCAAATCGTTGTCGAGACGATGCCTCACTCCTCCAGGAAGAAGTATTGGCCTGCTCTCTTTTGTTCCAGGTCCTGTAAAAAAGGTAATTACGCTTACTTTGGAAGTATATTACTAATAAATTAAATTAAATAAAAGAAGAATGAACACATCCAAACGACATACTTTCACGGACTGACTCTTATTGATCCTTGGTCTGTAGTTGTTCGGATCTCTTCTGAAAGTGATGCCGAGAAGTTCCAAGAATCTGTTCATGCCATTTAGCAAAGATTGCGGACTGTGAGCTGTAGTAGCCAATGATGGAGTGCCAGAGAATACTATTACACGGTCAGCCAAGTATGTAGCCATGATAAAATCGTGCTCTACTACGAATCCCGTTTTCTTTGCATGCAATATAAACCTGAAACAGTAACGCAGGTTTAGGAATAACAGCTTCAAAGTATGCTTCACAAGATAAAGAGAAATGATTCTCCATTACCGCTTGATGACTTTAGCTGCGACCAAACGTTGTTCCGAATCCAAATAAGCAGAAGGTTCGTCGATCAAGTAGACATCAGCAGGCTTCCCGAGACACAGAGCAAGAGCCACTCGCTGCAGTTCACCTCCGGAAAGGTTCTGCACTTCTTGGTCCATGATGTCGTCTATCTTCAAAGGCTTCATAACATCTGTCACGAATTGTGGATGCACGTAAGCGTCCCTAATCTTCTCATGCAACAGCTGTCGCACGATACCCTGAGATTTGGGACTTATCTTCTGCGGCTTATAACTGATATGCAACATAGGGATACTTCCTGTTTAAGAATAAAATTATTCTAGTTGTTTCCGTTGTACAGCATTAGAACCTTGCTACAATTATTAATTAATTACCAGAACCATCGTCGGGTGGCAGATTACCAGCCAACATTCTAATAAACGTCGTTTTTCCTGTTCCATTCTCGCCAAGTAACACAAGGATCTCCGAGTCAGTGAATTGACCTTTCTCAACGTTCAGCTTGAACGACCCCATTGTCTTCGTCATCGCTGGATACTCGTAGTGATTCATACGTTTCACTTCCTCCTCGGTTGCACTCTCCGCAACTTTGAAGACAAGAGACTCCTCGCGGAATCTCAAGTTCTCAGTGGGAACAAAACCGTCGAGGAAAATGTTTATACCTTCTCTGACAGAGAAAGGCATAGTAACAACACCATACGCTCCAGGAACGCCATAAAGGCAACATATAAAATCTGATAAATAATCCAGAACCGATAAGTCATGTTCCACTACTATTATGAACCTATTCAATTTGGAAAATGATATTAGTTACTTGGAAAAATGGTAGATAATAACACAAATGCTAATTACATACTTGTCGGGATGAATAAGAGATCGGATTGTTAAAGCAGCGTTCAGACGTTGCTTTACATCCAAGTATGATGATGGCTCGTCAAACATGAAAATATTTCCATTTTGGATACACACCATAGCACAAGCAAATCGTTGAAGTTCCCCACCGGAAAGTGCTTCGATACCTCTGTCACGAATATGCATCAGATCTAAGGGAAAAGTAATTAAACAAACCGTTAAAAAAAAATACTTAATTTACTTAATCTAATATTTCATATTGATTTCAACTTACCCAACATTTTACAAATTTCCATTTGATTTTTGCGTTCGTCCTTTTGATCTAAAAGTTGTTGCACGGTGCCCTTCACAGCTTTAGGAATTTGATCTACATACTGAGGCTTGATAAGGGCTTTCAAATGGTCCTCCAATATTTTAGTAAAATAATTTTGCAGTTCACTACCTCTAAAGTGACTCAAGATCTCGGTCCAGTCTGGAGGATCCTAAATAAAAAAATTAAAATCATAAATTAACAAAAGAGAATTCCTATGCAAGAAAACATTTATGTGGACAAAATCATACATACAGTAAATCGGCCTAAATTTGGCTTCTGCTTGCCAGCTAAAATTTTAAGAGCAGTTGATTTACCAATTCCGTTAGTTCCTACCAAACCTAACACTTCTCCAGGACGAGGAATTGGCAGTCTATGTAGTTTAAATGAATTCTTCGAGTAACGATGAGTGGTTTCCTTTTCTAAATTGCTAGGAAGATTAATGATGGATATTGCTTCGAATGGGCATTTCTAAAAATAAGATGTGATTAATGCAGATACTCATACGTTTCTCATTATTATAAACTTGGAATAATAAGTACCTTAACACAAATACCACATCCAATACATAATTCCTCTGAAATGGATGCTTTTTTGCTATTTGCAGTAACTTCTATACAAAGTTTACCCATCCGTACAACTGGACAAGATCTTTTGCATTCTTGCCTACATCGTTTTGGTTTACATTTATCGTTATTAACTATGGCTATACGTGTTAATCGATCCGTTTCCTCCATAGACTTTTTCGGCGGCATGATGATAATCTATTTGCCTGCCTGAAAATTATATGTGAGAATTATTTATTATTCGAAACACTCCATTCATGAATACTAATTAATTCCAATATTTTCCAAGATCATTAAACACAGTTATACGTTTATTTCGTGGCTAAATTATTATATCCTTTGAACATCTTTATTTTAAATTTCATAGAGTAATTAAAAAGTCTTACTAAACTTTGAACATATGTTTTATTCATATGAAGCTAACAAATGAATAGACAATATTTTAATAAAACTACAACGCAGTAGCGATAACATAGTTACAAGGATACTGTGCAAAAATTATCATAAGTGTTTGTGCATAAACGAAATTCGGATTGAATGAAAATCCAATCCCAATGTGGAACTCTAACCTCATGTAATTAATTATGAATTATGCTGATAGAATAATATTCAATAAATATATCATAGAATTCACGAGTATGATTCATTCTAAATACATTATGTTATAACTTGATAATATTTAATAGGCACGCATACGATTAAGTACCTGTCAAACCAAAAACGTGGAGGAAACTCCTCTACAACCTTTTCGAAGGAGTTTCCGCACTCGCACACCACCGCATGCTCCAATTTTAACCATAGAATTTCGGAAGGTAGACTATGCACTCGACACCTTTAACCAGTTTCACAATTTGATCTTTTCTTGCTGAGACCTTTATTTACATGAAAATAAGGTTTTGATATTCTTTTGGATTCCTTACTACATAATTTTATTTCATCTGCCAATAGATTATTTATATTTCAACATAATTTTCAATACTAAATTCGTAAAATTCTCAAGTTAAATGTAAAAAAATATTTCCATTAACTTTTAGTAGATTTTTATTAACAAATTAATAGAAGATTGTTATTCAGTATAAGTAAAAAGAAAAGCATTTACATTATAATAAATAAATGCAATAAAATTGTATTAAAGGTTTAAAAATTTTTTAATAAAATTTTAAAAAAAATGACAACGCTGTTTGTATGTAGATCATCAAGGTCATCAAATATGGAGACAAAAACATCAAATTTTTAACAGAAGTTTCGAGTCTAGTATATTTTGTGGCTTCGTGTACTGCATGTCTTATGAAGCATTATACAGATTCGTTCTGAGGTTTTGTGCACATAATAATAGCATTTGCTTATATATCCTGATTTTTTAGTAAGTAAAAGTAAGGCAAAAACCTTTCTATTGAAAATTTTGCGTTATCGACTACACAAAAATAAGAAAAGTTTGTGAGTAATAAGTAGTCTAACCGTACTTTGCTTTAAAACAGGTGTCAAGTGACAGTTCTTGATGCATTTTTTCCGTTTTTAGTTTCCTTCATTAATAAAATATTGAAGCTTCTTACTTCAAATGTCTTAATGTATTGAATCTTCTACATATAATTTTTCTATATAATAACTATGGTTGTATACACTAGTTATTAACATTTTGAATGTTATAAAAAAATGGCGATTTTGTGTAAACATTTTTGGCTTTTTCATAAATTCTTTATACTTTTGCAAGATTCAGTTATTTCTTTTATTACTGCAATTTCGTGTACATTATGTATAATTACAGTATAATTTCAATTTCCTTTGCCAACACATATTTCATTAAAATTTTCATTAATATGTAATCTTTTGTTTAAATGTTTATTAGTTTTTTATTACATATCAGACTATATAATTTTATGTTTCATACGAAGTATAAATTTTGCCATGACTTTCTTCAATTAAATTTTTATGTATAGTTGCTGCATCCCTTGGAATGGAGCGAAGTATTCATGAAATGTTGAAAGATGCACCACCTATAAGTGAAAATGATAATGCTGTTCACAGTGGGACACCCCCTCCTCATGTACCAAACAATTGCACTAACGACACTCAAGCTAGACCTGCCACAATCAATTTAACATTGGGTAGCCCGACATCACAAATGTGTAAGCAGAATAAATCAACTATTATGTATTACATAACAGTATATTGTCTCATCAAATGTTTGTAAAATTGAAACAGAGTTTTTTTATCTTGTAATAGCTGTGACAGTATCTCCAAATACACCTATTCAGAATGGTGATACTCAGACAATGCGTACTGCTCAAAGTAAGATTGAAAGCATTAAAAATTGGAGTATTTCTACATATAAATGTACTAGACAGCTAATGTATGAAAAACTTGGTAAAACATCTCGTACAGTAGATTCAGGTGAGTTATCTATAATGTACTTTGATTGATTATGATCTTTTTACTCCAATGTAACTCATTCTTTCATCTTTAGAACTTGAAACACAGATTGAATTATTAAGAGATACCCAAAGAAAGTACTGTAACGTGTTACGATTATCCAGAGCATTAGCTTCTCATTTTCATCATGTTGTACAAACACAACATGCTCTTGGTGAAACATTTTCTGAATTAGCACAGAAATCCCCAGAGTTACAAGAAGAATTTCTTTACAATTCCGAAACTCAAAGGAATTTAACTAAAAATGGTGAAACATTACTAGGGGCCTTAAACTTTTTCGTTTCATCTGTAAACACACTTTGTAATAAGACTATTGAAGACACTTTGCTAACGGTTCGACAGTATGAAACTGCAAGGTAATGTTTCACTTTACGATGGACCATATCAATTTTAAATATATGTTTCAATATTTCTAAAATGTTCATTTCTTTTACAGAATAGAATATGATGCCTACAGAACAGATCTTGAAGTATTAGCGCAAGCTACAAAATCTGATGGTAGTAATGCAGCAAGATTAGAAGAAGCACAGACTAATTATGAAGAACATAAACAGAACTTTGAAAAGCTACGATCGGATGTCTCGATTAAACTTAAATTCTTAGATGAAAACAGGGTATATATTTATTCAACTCTTTGACTTCTCCGCGATTTTCTTTTACAGTAATTTCATTCAATTGTCATTGCAGATCAAAGTGATGCACAAACAGTTATTGTTGTTCCACAATGCAGTGTCTGCCTATTTCTCTGGAAATCAAACTGCATTGGAAGCAACACTGAAGCAATTTAACATAAAAGTTAAATCACCGAATTCGTCTTTACCATCATGGCTCGAGCAGTAGTTACACTAGAGTGAATAGATGCGAATATTTTGGAGAATATGAAAAAAGATGCATTCGTCCATACAAACGTTTCCTCGAACAACGGAAAAAATGTAAAGGTAGAACATCTTTCGGATTCTTGAAAATGTGTTAGGAGACATTGTTGTCGAGATATCTATCGATTTAAGTGGTTTCTGGAACGAGAGTACATTATAACGCAAAACCAGACTGAATTTTTTTCCGAATTATGTTTTAAGTATTGGTCAGTATCATAGATATATGGCACTATAAATTAGTAAATTTCAATGATATAATTAGCACTTATGTGGAACATTTAATGGCAATTAAAAATATGTCTGTTGAAGAATTTGGTACTGTTAATTCAATAGCAATGCTTCTAAAATTATAAAGGCAATAGATATTTAATTTTTATATCTACTACCTTCTTCGGGAAGTTATAATGTAAATATTTAACAAATGATAAACTGAATTTTGAATTTTACAATATGTATAAAACGGTATTAATTGATTGTTTACATTACATTTTGTACCAAAACAATAG